AGTGTTGCGGTGAACAATGTCGAGTGATGGTGGGTGAAAGATGTTGATCGACAGTGCGTTCATGGTATCTATTAATGTTGATGCTATGGTGTTGATCGACATAGAGGTTGGACGTGGAGGTCGTATCACCAGTACCGGTTTCTTCTACTCTACTCGTCCCTCCAGATCTATGTTATTCATCATCCTCTACCATATATCTCGTCATTGACTCCATCTCGATCTCTATATTTTCTGCAGCTTCATAGAGAAATTTGTTGAAAAAGACTTTTATGATATCAATCCATGTTTTGAGGGATTCTGGTGCCAAGTCATTGAACCAACATGCTGCTTCTCGAGCAAGAGTTTATGGGAAGAGTTTGCAGAAGTGGTAGTCTTCAGTGACTTAATTAAAGATGAACCATACCAGTTCTTCAAACATGTCGATATGATCCATTGGTTCCTCGTCAAGAAAGCCATGAAAGGGATGCTGACTCATAAGAGTGATATACATAGGTTTCAGCTCAAAGTCAACCTTCTCTGTCCTTCCGAAAGTAGTGTTGATCGAAGTTGAGGTGTTGGTGTCGATCGACTTCATGGTGTTCGTATCATTCGACGTTGAAGTGTTGGTGTCGATCGATACTCGGTTCTCTTCGCTAGCGATCACTTCTTAGAGGGAGTAGAATGACCTCTTAGAGGTATTGGTCTTTCGTGAATCAGAAGGCTCCTTCTTTGAAGGACCTAGAAATCCTCTCTTCATTTTTTCTTGGTATTAAGATGTATGTACCTGAATAGAAGAAAAAAAATTATGAGATTTTCGAACAAAAGTAAAACCTAGACTAAATCTAACTAGACAAGAAATAATGGCGATCAAAGCTCCCCAGCAATGACGCCAAATTTGATATCACTCAAATTACCCTAAGGAGTGAATAACTCTCTCAAATAAGAGGTTTAGTTGTAGTACTTAGGGATCGAATTCACAATAAACTAGGGAACCAATTAAATCTAATCAGAGTGAATAAGACTAGGTTGGTTTATGATTTTGAAGTAAATAACAATATAGTAATCCTATTTGAGCAAGGAAGTTGCTCTAATAAATTGATTGAGTTGTTGGATGGAAGGATGGTTTGCTAGACTTAGGGTTTCTATTCAGGTATCAGGGATTATAATCCTATAAGTGCTATACAGTTGTATGCATGATATTAAAGAGCTTCAAATTTAATAAGAATGAATCTATAAGCTTTCACCTTCTAGATTCGCCTATTGACTAGATCTAATAACCTCACTTTCGGTTTGATCAATTAGAAAGTGCTGATCGATTATTCTATATGAATGTCGATCAATAAACCTTTTCTCCGTCGATCGATCATTCTATAGGAATATTGATCGATGCGCTCTATCCAAGCTTTGCATGCGAGTTGAATCTGTGCTAACTAAGGGTTCCCAGATCAGCTTTTGCCTCCTCTAGTAATCTTAGCTCGGTAAGAAACAAATCAGGACGAAGATGAATGATGGTTTATGTCCTAGATCAAGGTTCTAGTTAGATATTCAAGAACACAAGCATTAAGAACATCATATCAATGAATACCACAACTAGCAATCCCATTGTTGGGGCTAAATTTTTTAACCTACAGTAGAACCTCTATAAATTAATACTCGATAAATTAATATACACTAAATATCTCTATAAATTAATATAATTTTATAGTTTCAAATTGAGTTTTTGGTTCAATTAGTATATCTATAAATTAATATCTCTCTAAATTAATAAAAAAATAAAATTTTGATGTAGTCCCAACATTATTAATTTATAGAGGTTTCACTGTATTTAAACTCTAAACCTAACAAGTGGATCTATTCAAGCATGATAGTTGTCACAGAAATCATAGATGAATAGATATAAAATATAAAAGCAATAAAGAAACCAAAGGAGTCCCAGGAGGACTCTGAAGAAGTTCCTCATTTCTCTCATAAAACTAGAACAGTAGAATAGAAAGCTTAGGTAATGTCTACTCTACTCTTCAACAAGGGCTTAGAAATACATAAATAGGGTTTCTGGCCGTTCATGGATATTTTGATAACTTGTGGTGGCTTCTGGCATTTGGTAGGTCTTGAATATATTTGGCCCGCGTTCTGGCATTACGTATCGATCGATGTCAAGGGTGCTGCATCGATCGATATACGTTCGTCTTCTCGACAACTTCCTCTCTCGAAGCAGACTGACCACTCCTCAATAAAATGAAAGTAACTTCTGCTATAGGATGCTGATTGTCCTCTGACCGATGGCATTGGAAATATAACTCAACGCTCTATCTTGTGTTGAATTGTGGCCGCAATCTAACGGTGGAAAAGTCTCTATCCATAGCAAAACATCTGACGCGTCTGTGCAGTTCTGCACCTCAAAAGGCTCCAAAATCACCATATTTCTCCAGAACGTACCTGAACCTGTAAATACTCTAAAAAGACTCCAAAACATAACAATTATATCTTAAAACACTTATATACCATGGCTAAAAGTGGATAAAATCCATGGCCTATCAACTGATCTTGCACGCGCCCATCATCCACGTTCATCCATTCTCCATCTGTCCACCCTCCTGAAAAACACGGACCAGTGTTGCACGCGTTAGCGTGTCCGCATTTTATCTTGGGATCACTCAAAAACCTGGCTGCATTCCACGGGCTGCATTCAACCCCGTATGTTACCCACAGTCGACCCATTTCTTTTTCTCTTTTTCCAAAGCTCAATCTTCACTTCTTTTGATACAAGATGGCTCTAAGCACCTCCAATAACTCCATAAGGATACTTAAACACCTAATAAGGACATATGCATGGAAATGCAACCTATTGATGTCTAAATGGTGATCTAAGTGATCAATATTTATACTAAATGATAGTTAAAATCACGCAAATTCATAAGATATTAGTTAGTGGTTTTGGGGAATCATCAAGAGGAGGGACTCGACTATGAAGAGACCTTTGCACCTATGGCTAAGATGAAGACAATGCGTTTATTTCTGGATGTTTCCGCCAAGATGCATTATGAAATGCACCAGGGGGATATGAATAATGCATTTTTACATGGGGATTTACAGGAAGAAGTTTATATGAAACTTCCTCCAGATTTTTGTCCTGATGGTGAAACAAGAGTCTGTCATCTTCAGAAGTCGCTGTATGGTTTAAAACAAGCCCTTCGATGCTAGTTTGATAAGCTTGCCGAAGATTTGCGAGCATATGGTTTTACACAAACACGTTCTGATTACTCTTTGTTTGTGTATACCACGAATGGTGTTTCATAAAGGATCCTTATAGAAGTCGACGATCTAATAATATCTGGAATTTCACTTTTTATGATTCAATCTTTCAAAGATTATTTGTAAGTGTGTTTCCACATAAACGATCTTGGACCGGTCAAATATTTTTGGTTTAGAGGTCTCACGAAGTTCTGCTGGAATTTATTTGTGGCAGCGTAAATATGCCACAGATACCGCCAAAGAAACATGTTTGTTGGGGGTGTAAACCGGCGGGTTATCTTATTAATCATAATCACAAACTAAGTCTTGCTGATAGACCATTACTTGCTGTTCCAGAACAATACCAGCGTCATATTTGTTGACTTATATATCTAGCAGCAACAATTTCAGACTTGGCATACGCTATTCATACTATTTCCCAATATATGAATAAGCCAAGAGAGGAACATTGACCAGCACTGAAGTGTGTATGGTATCTCAAAGGGACGTTTGGGCAAGGGATACTCTTGCGCGCAGAACCATCAACACATTTAAGTGGATGGTATGACTGGGACTGGGGTGCTTTTCCATTTACTAGAAGGTCACTAAGTGCTTGGATAGTACAGTTTGATTCATCACCGATTGTTTGGAAGAGTCAGAAACAAGATAAGAGTGTTTCGTTCATCAGCAAAAGCTTAATATCGTGCCATGACAGAAGTAATTGCTGAACTAGGATGGTCGGGAAAAAACTTCAAGAACTCGGCATAGAACACGATGGACCAATGTCGTTATATTGTGATGGAAACCTGCTATTTACATCATTTCTGATCCCATATTTTATGAAAGAACTAAGCATGTTGAGCTTGATTTTCATTTTGTTCAGGATAACATTGTACGAGGTTTTATCAAACCAATACATGTCTCAACGAAGGATAAACTAGTAAATATACTCACGAAATCATTGTGGAAGGAGTCTGATGCATTTTTTATCAAGTTGGGTATAGCAAACTTGTATGCTCCAATTTGAGGTAGTATTAGGATATATTCCGTATTCCATATATTTAGCATATATATTTTGTATATCTTACGAGATTCAGGATTATCCTTTTTAGGAAGATTGTGTGTATATGTAACTCTTTGGACGATGAATAAAGACAGATTATTATTTTTCCATTCAATTTTTTGCCACATTCTCGATAACGGAAAGCATTAACAAGGTTAGATTTCAAATCTTCAATCAGTTTCTTGGAGTAGAGCTTGAGTACGTCGACATTTTTGAATTATTTAGGAACAAAGCTTGTCATCATCATTTTTGCCCCATGCTAAATTCTACCCAATAGTGTTAACTTCTGAAGCAAAAGCTAAGAATGTTACATCTTTTGATGCGTGAGTTTTGTTTCAGAGAGTTAACATCTCGTTTATTCACTCCAATGCTTTTAAGTTCTGACTATTAATGTGTCATCCCTTTTATGAAGACAATTGTGTAAGCTTGGATCACTTGACGCCAAAAGAAAAAATGGAAAGATATTGGTGTGTCTCAAAGGACAAAACGGGAGAGTTGAAAAGCGTCAAGATGTGGCTTTAGCTGGCGGTGTAGGGATGGTTCTCGAGAACATTAATGTCACCAGGAATGATCTAACTGCTGATCCACATGTCCTCCATGCCACACATCTCAGTTTCAAAGACAATCTTGCCTTTTAAAGATATACCAGCCAAACCAAGTAGGACGATTCTTCAGTCACTTTTATTCAAACCCAACTTGTTTAAAGTTCTAAAAGAAACATTTGTTAATGTATGTACACAGGAAGCCTATGGCCCACATTACTTCTTCTCGGACAGTTTTGGATACAAAACCAGCGCATGTAATGGCTGCTTTTTCGTCTAAGGGATCTAGCTCGGTGGCTCCTAGAATTCTGAAGCCTGATATAACTGCACCTTGTGTGAGTGTGATCGCTGCCTACACTGGAGCAGTATCACCAACAAATGAACAGTTTGATGCTCGGTGTCTTATGTTCAATGTTGTTTCAGGGGCTTACATGTCTTGTCCTCATATCTCTGGCATTTCTGGTCTTCTCAAAACTCGTTATCCTTCTTGGAGCCCTGCAGCTATCCACTATGCCATCATGACTACTGGTAAAAGTGTATTTAGATTCTTGGATCTCACCCATTGCTATCAGCACTAAAAATCTCAATTTTGTGTATTGTAAAGTTTGGCTTACTCGATGTAGCAACAACAATGGATGACATTCCTAGAATCATCCAAAACTCAATATACATGAAGGCAACATCTTTTAGTTTCGGGGCAGGACACGTCCAACCAAATCTAGCTGTGAATCCCAGTCTAGTTTATGATTCAGGCAGAAAATACTATCTCAACTTCTTATGCTCCCTTGGATACAATGAATCATAAATCTCTATCTTCGAAGGAAAGAAGTTTACCTGTTCAAGCCATAAAACCATTATTTACAACCTTAACTATCCTTCCATCATAATTCAAAACTTTTCATCAAGCAAAGTCACAGTCTTAAGGACCCTTAAAACGGCAGAAAACCTTCAACTTATACTGTCAAGGTGAATAACTTAGAGCGTGTTTATTTTGCTGTTAAGTCTAGAAGCTTAAATTTCACCAAAGTTGGAGAGTAAAAGACGATTAAGGTGTTCATTGTGAAGTGTAAGGGGAATGTGGGTAAGGTTTATCTCTACAAGAAAACATGGCAAATTCAATTAGACATTCCGACAGATATTAACCACGTCGATTTTTATCGAATTCTGATGGGATACTGACGACTATTATAACTTGAGTTTCGTCGGTATTTCGTCGAAACAAAACCGACAAAATACCGATGACGAAAAAGTCAGCAGACATTTCCGACAAAAAATCGACAGAAAACCGATGAAATTTTATATCCATTAAAGTACAACTACTATTTGTAATACTTTTGCTTTTCGTTAGAAATTTGTCGGAAATTCCTGATGAAATTGCGACGGACATTTTGATCGTTGTATGGTCTGACAAATTTCCGATGGAATTACGACGGAAATACCGACAAATATTTTTGACCATTCAAATTTCGGATGAAATTCCGACGAATATTTTGACTGGTTAAATTTCCGACGAATTTTTGATGAACTTTAAAATATTCGTCGAAATTCGGTCAGAAACCCGTCGGACAACAAATTTTGTCTATAAATATGAGATCCACACACCACATTTCTCTCATTCACGCTTTATTATCTCTTTACTCTCTACAAATCCGAAAAAAAATTATGTCGTATGGAAATTGGTATCGATCATGGATGGATAAGACGCATTTGGATCCAAACACCAATTTGCTTACAAAGTAATACATGGAAGGTATTGGTGAATTCATGAAGCTTGTTCAACAACAACCGGAAGCAAATACCGGTATGTTAAGATGTCCATGCTCTTCCTGCAATAATAATAATGTTATAAAAGATAGGGATGTTTGGACTCATTTATATATGAGAGGGTTTACACAGAGTGATAAGGTTTGGTATCTTCATGGGGAAACTGGTTATGAATATGGTAGTACTATTGAACCTCAGCCTGTGGTTAAGTTAGAATAACCAAGAACAGATGTAGATTATGGTGTAGGTATTGAGCAGGTGGTAAATAATCATTATAGAGGGGAAGAGCCCAATGCAGAATCTAAGAGATTTTTTGACATGTTGGATGTAGGAAAACAACCATTGTATAAAGGTTGCAGAGATGGTCATTCACCCTTATCATTTGCAACTAGATTGATGGGTACTAAGACATATTATAATTTGGCCGAAGAATGAGTAGATGCGATTGCTGATTTAGTAAGAGGTGTTCTACCAGAGGATAATCTTGCACCGAGTTCTTATTACAAGGTTCAGAAACTGGTAGCGGGTCTTGGTTTACCGTATCAGGTAATAGATGTATGCATCGACAACTGCATGATCTATAGAGAGGGGATGAGAACCGAGATATATGTAAATTTGTGGGAAACCTCGATATCAAGATACAAGGGGAAGAGTTTCGGTGTCATTCAAAAGAATGTGGTATATGCCTTTGACGGAAAGACTGAAGAGGTTGTATCAGTCTGAACGGACAACCCAACCAATGAGATGGCATGCAGAACACTCCACAGATGGTCAGAGTAGACATCCTTCAGATGCAAAAGCTTGGAAACATTTCCAGTCAACATATCGAGAATTTTCCCATGAGAGAAGAAATGTTTATCTTGGATTGTGTACTAATGGTTTTAGCCCATTTGGAAAGCATGGAAGACAATATTCTCTTTGGCCAGTGATTGTGACACCGTACAACTTGCCGCCCAATTTGTGCATGAGACGAGAATTTTTGTGTCTCTCCATTCTCGTCCCTGGGCTAGATCATCCTAAGAGATCACTTGATGTGTTTCTTCAGCCCTTGATATATGAGTTGCAACAACTATGGGCGCATGGTGCTGAGACATACGATGTTTCGCGCAAATGGATAATAAGTGACTTTCCATGGGATGCGGGCAATACTTATGTGGATAATAAGTGACTTTCCAGCATATGGGATGTTATCTGGATGAAAAACACATGGGAGGCTATCATGTCCATATTGTCAAGATAGCACAAATGCTTTCCAACTAAAACACGGAAAAAAACGTGTTAGTTTGACTGTCAAAGATGATTTCTACCACCCGAGCATCCATACCGTAGGAGCTGGACTTTGTTTACGAATAACAAAAAGGTGTTTGACAGTCCAGTAGAAAAAATTAGTGGGAAATATTTGTTGGAACAATTAATGTATTTTTTGCAGAAAGGACGCCAGACGTTGGTGGACATGAATATATTTGAATCGACGCTATTGGACAACTACACAATTGGCACAAGAAGAGTATTTTTTGGTATCTACCATACTGGAATGATCATCTGTTACGGCATAATTTAGATGTCATGCATATTGAGAAGAACTTTTTCGAAAATCTGATGAACACAATCCTCAACCTCCAAGGTAAAATGAAGGATAATTTGAAGTCAAGACTCGATTTAGTCGACATTTGTGCTCATTCTGAACTTCATGTTGATGAGAATGTTGTGGTTCCTTTTCCCATATACTGTTTGGATGCAGCTGCAAAGGAGGAGTTCTTTGATTGGATTACAAATAAAGTGACCTTCCCAGATGGTTATGTGTCAAATTTGCGTAACGGCGTCGACAAAAGTGAAAGAAAATTTATTGGCTTGAAGAGTCATTATTATCATGTAATGATGCAGCGTCTCCTTCCATTTTGATTTTACAAACAATTGCCACAAAATGTTCATAAAGCAATTGCAGGTATTTTGTATTTTAACATTATTACTTGATTGTCATATTAATTTCTTATGATTTATAAGTATTTTTGGAATTATTTCTTTATATGTATGCAATAATAAGCACTTTCATTTTAGATTTATGCACTAGATCAGTCACCGCATATGGTATTAGTAATTTCAAGGCTAACATACCCGTGAGCATGTGCAACCTCGAGAAGATATTTCCAACATTTTTTGATGTAATGATATATCTTGCTATTCATCTCGCAAGAGAATTTGAACTTGGTGGTCCTGTAAATTATCGATGGATGTATCTTTTTGAGCGTTATATGAATCATCTGAAGAAGAAGGTCAAAAATTTAAGCAAGGTGGAAGATTTAAAGTCGCACATGTGATCAATAAAGAAACTTCAAACTTTGCCAACAGTTATTTTCCATCAGAAGTGCAAACAAAAACTCGGGAGACCTTCTCGGCATGATTATGGAGGGAAAAGGGTAACGTATTATATTACCATCCCAAACATCTTCAGGGAAATCAGACGACTTAGTGGTAAAGCAAAGAAGCGAAAACTTACCGAGAGGGAGCACACCCATTTTCATACATATTTGCTCACCAACTGTGAAGATGTTCAACAATACGAGAGGTAAAAATTTTAATTTGATTTAAAAGGTCAGGTTGTTCATTAAATTTTATTTCAGATTAATTAATGATATAATTTTTGTATAGTATTTATACCGTAGAGCTGAGGTTGACTTACAGACATGCCACATAAGAGGAGCTTGAACAACTCAAACATAGATGATTTTCTGTTTGGCTTCTTAATTATATGAGTGTGTACAAAAAATTAGTTATATATTTAATGAAATAATTTATTACCGTTAATAACATAAACATCTTTTATTTATAGGTGACTGAAGGTTTGGCTTGAGTTGAAGTGTTTGATGGTTGAATACTCAAATTTGTGCAGGGACTGAACTATATAGTCAAATCTTATCCAAAATATACAACTTGGGGATATGCATTCTTAAGGGAAGGCCATTCTAAGAGAACTTATGATGCTGGTGTTTCATCTTCATCCGGGGACGATGTATACTATGGCAACGTACAAGATATTTTGGAGATTCTGTATCCCGGTATGGTTGGATTGCGGTGTACTATATTTTGTTGTGATTGGTATGACAACACCGCAGATCGAGAGGTTAAAACGGACGAATTTGGTGTCATTTTGGTTCAGTCGCAAAGGAAACTTCAAATTATGATTATTTCATTCTCGCTTCTCAAGCTGATCAGGTATGTCAATTTATTAATGGTTCAACAATATGTATATTTATCATTTCATATATTACTAATACCTACATTTTTATTTAAAGGTTTGCTACATCAGTTATCCTCGCGATACGTACAGAGATGATCCTTGGGTCATTGCAATTTCAATCAACCAAGAGGACGAGAACATGGACGTTCTGATAATGACCCATTACAACCAACCTCTACCAGAAACATGAGCCAAGTTGAAGATTTAGAAGATGTTGAACTCGTTGTTGATTTTACCCAGTTCGGAGATGTTGTACACTCGGAGTCAAAGGCTGAAGTTGGAGCGTTTGACGAAGATTAGACTGATTCTGAGTAGATTTGGATATATAAGTTGAGATTTCTTTGTATAAGTTAGTGAAGTTGAAATTTTCATAATATAAGTATTTTTTATAAGTTAATCGATTTTTTTAATAAATTCTTCAAGTATTTTCATAAGTTATTGGAGTATTTTACAATTTCAATATCATATAAACAGATATTCGTCGGAATTTTATTGCTATATTCCGACAAATTTCTGACGAACTATATAAACTTTGAGGTTTCGATAGGGATTTCATATTCTTTGTAATTCCAACGGAATAGTCCGACGAAATTGGGTTGTTTGTCGGAATTTTGTCAGAATATTCTGATGGAATTTCGACGACGGTTACTTTATATTTTCAAAATTAATATATATTTAAATGTGAATACTTAAAATAACTAAATAACACTTATATAAGTGTATAATAGGAAATTAGTTGACAATCATATTGAGTTTATCATCAAACAAATTCATTCGGTATGCATATCAACCTATACATAACATCTTACATCAACATCTATATACTTATACAAACATATCATGACAATCTAATTATATATTTTGATTTAGTATAATACTGAGTTAAACACTTAGTTTTTTAGTTAAACCACTTGTAAATAGTTTATACTCTATCAAAGATATGTATTGACAATTAGTTGATAATTTTAGACCCCAAACGCTATTCATATATATAATAAAATGGTAAGTAACGTTTAATATTTGTAATTTATAAAAAAGTTGATGATTTTAGACCTCAAACGCTATTTCGAATATATAATAAAAATGTTAAGTAATGTTTTCATAATTTTTAAAACGTGTTATAATTTTAAAAACGTTTTTATAACTTTAAAAACGTTTTATAAATTTAAAAACGTTTTACTAATTCATATATGTAATAAAAATACAAGGAAATTATTTTTAATATATACAAAAACGTTTCTAAAAATAATATTATAAATTTTGTAAAAGTTTTGGAAACTATGTAGAAACATTCTTAGAAAAGTTCTATATACCTTTACAAAAGTTATATATATATATACAACTTTACATACCCTTACTTAACATTTAAATAATGTTTAATATATATGTACAAATTATGTATATATATATATATATATATATATATATAAAATTTGTAAATATATATTAAACATTATTAAATGTTAAGTATATTTTTAATTTTCATTATGAAAAACGTTTTAAAAAGTTGTAAATTAGATTTTAGGAATTATAGAAATTTATAATGAAAGTTAAATATATATTTAAAATTTTTGTCTAAAATTGTTATTTTCTATCATATGTCTCAGGATTCTATTAGACAACTATGACGTTCCACACCTCGAGGCCGACTTCATACCGGGAGTAGTTCCCGTGCATTGGGATCATCACACGAGCAAAACTCAATCCTGTCTATTCTTCCTCCAGCTCCTCCTCAGGTTCCACCTCCGGATCCTGCTGCTCAATATGAGCCGCGTAATATGCCGGTTGAGGTATTGGTTTTAGAACCTGGGCGAGAGCATCTCCGGGTGCTCCATCCCATTCCACAGGGGTACACTACATGGTAAGATTTCTCCTTTTAATTTTTATATAATTTTTTGTTTTAAATTTTATTTTCACTTACTTTAGTTTTTTTTAAGATTCAACAAATTGAGCAACGGCATTACTAGATGCATTAACCAAATGATGTATTTCATGCTCCGCAGAGGATATCTGACCTACAGTGCGATGCCTAACGACGAACGCGAGTTGTAATTCCGTAATTTTGCGGTAACGTTCTAAATTTTTTGTTTTAGTTATTAATTATATATTTTTTTATTTATTTCAATTTTTGCAGCAACATTTCACGTGGGAGTCTTGACATACCAAAACTGTTTGTCAGGGCTTTCACAAGAAGTTCGCTGAGTCTTATACTAATCACATCTATGAGTGGAAGCATCTATGGCTCAAGGGCAAGACACCCAAGAATATCAACAGCACAATTTGGCAACAGATGCAGGTGCATTGGAAAAGCATACGACTATAGATAAATTCCTCTGAAACTCAGCCAACTGCAATAGTAATCGTGGCGGGAAAGATCGTTTTGTCCACAACCTTGGGGCTTATAGTATATGCACTAAGGAGGATAAGCTTGTAAGTTCTATATATTTAGGTTTTAAATATTTTTAAAAATTACTTTATATATATTTATTGATTAATTTTTTTATAGGTTGAAGCAAATGCCAGTAATCCCGTTGATCATGTCGACGTCATGAGGGGGGCGTACACTAACAAGAAGACATGTGAAATTCAGGATCCCGTCATGAGAGAGATCATAGATTTGGTGCAAACCCAAAAAGAAGCATTTCTAGCTTCTCAACCAATCTCTGATGACGATTCCACGGCAGGTTCCACCAACTTTTCCCGGCTTCGAATAAACGAAATGGTGGAACAGGTAATTTTTTTAATTTTTGATTTCCTTATTATTCTAATTCATCACTAATATTTTATTTATCTATCTTTTTTATAGGCGGTTCCAAAGAAGAAAGACGTTTGGTCGGTTTGGCTCATCGTGCAGCTTCGTGTCCTTCTTCTCAAGTTCCGTATGCTGATCCCATGATTATGGAGCAGTTGCAGCACAAGTAGACATGGCAATTGGGTTCTCCCGTCCAGTCCCATCTAAAACTGCTGCTAGTTCGTCTTCTAGAGGGACGCGGCAGGCCCGTCCCGCGTGGGATGCGGTGTTGAAAACAGCTTCCCAATCCTATACCGCATTTTTTGTAGGCCTTCGTGGGCCCTCCCGCGGGACATGTGATAATACGCGCTGTAGAACGATTCAGGCCACTCCAAAATGCTTCAGGCCATTTTAGGACATAGTTCAGGTCGTCGATTCTAGACATTATTCATCAATCATTGCTTTAATTATTTTTTATTTGAAATAATAATTGTAATTATTTGTATCACATCCAAAACATTTAACATACAAAGTAAAGATAATTGCAGAAGATATTTTTCATTATCTTATAACTCATAAGTTCATAACCAATGTTTTAGTTTGTTGAATCCAAAAATTAAATAAAATGAAACACCAAATCAAAAATGTCATTCCCAAATTAAAAAAAAAAAAAGAGAAACCAAATCAAAACACTACTAAAGCTCGAATCATCATCCCCGGAGCTACAGTCATCATCACCGAAGCTCGAATCACCGAAGCTCGAATCATCATCATCGCCCGAGCTCCTTACGTTTTCTTAGGGGAAGTCACATGAATTGTCTTCTTCTCACTCATTCTCTCGTTTTTTCAGGTAGAACAAAAAATAAAGAAAAACTGCGGGTCCTTGTAATCCCACGGGACCCGTTTCGGCTCATCCCACAAAAGACCCAATCCCATGAGGCCCGCAAATTTATGGGCCTAGAAAACATTGTCCCAATACCTTCCCACGACAGTTCTTTACGGTTTAGGCTCGCGGTCCAGATCCATGATTGCCATCTCTAAGCACAAGGATGAACGGATTGTAGCGTTGAAGACGCAAAACGCTACAATTCTTGCTGAATTTGCAGATCAAAAGAAGTCCAATCAAGATATATTGGAGAATTTTTCTCATGAATTTTAATTTTTTTTTTCACTTTAAAATGTTGTTTAAATTATAACTTATGTAAAACTTATTTATTTAATATTTATTTTATTTATTTTTATGGATTTATAAAAAAAATTATTCTAAAAAAACATCTTTATTAAAAAAAAAAGAAAACTTTGAAATTGATAATAACTAAATTCCGAGGACCATTATATCTGTCAGAAATTTCTAACGGAAAAACATCCACCGGAAATTTCCGACAAAAGGATTCCAACGGATAATTTTCGTCGAACATTTTTGATTGATATAATGGTCGTCGGAAATTTCCAACGGATGTTTTTTGTCAGAAAATAATTTTGATGTTGATTCATGTAAGATTAACTTCCGATAGATTGTCGATGAAGTGAAATAGTGTCGATTTTTTGTCATAAATAAGTCCGTCGGTATCTGTCGGATTTAGAATTTTTAATGAATTTCTGACGAATTTTTTTTGACGATTTTATTTGGACGACCATTTCTGTTGAAATAGTGTTATTCCGACGAATATGGCCGTCGGATTTCGTCTGCTTTCATTTAGTGTATGTGTTTTGAGAGTTAGTTTGGTCGGACAAGAAACCTCGTGTGAGGAGTCCCATTGTGGTGTCTCTTTAGTGCTAATGATGATATTTGTTTCGTATTATTCTGTTATCTTTGACTTTTTGAGTTGTAAGGCTTGCTAGAAGAACGACGTAATTATGACAGATGTTGGAGAGAATAGCATTCATAGGCATTAGCAGAGTGTTATTATACTGATTATCAAAATAATTATGGCAACATCAACCCTTCTGGTATTTATAAAATTTTATTTAAATTTATGTCATTTAAAAGAGGATCGATCATCACAAAAAAAAAGAAAAGAAATGAACGCAGAGTTATGAAAAGAGCTTCCAATTTATAGCACAATTTGACTTAAGACTGATAAACCAAAATTGACTCATTAATTTAATGAGTTACCTTCTTAAAACGAGAGATAATCTCATATGCTCTTAATGAGGCAAAAAATATTTTGGTATACTCTTACGAATTCTGGCATACTCCGAGTAAAGAATCTGTCAAAGATATTATTGATAGAGCATCACAGCAGAACTCTTTCGGAATCAGTATCAACAACTCGGATAAGAGTAGATATGTGATGAAATGTTGGGAAGCAGCTGAGGATTGTAAATGGGGTGTGAGAGCTACAAAGATAAAAAAAAATTCTGAAGCATTCGCGATTAGAACATACATAAAGATGCATTCATGCTCTCGCGCAACGTCAAGTATTAGAACGAAAAGGAAACCTACACCAAGATGTGTTGTAGCTATAGTGCATAAGGATTATCTGAGACTATTTAAGACACCAACTGCAGAAACTCTGGTCGGTCTGGTGCAAAGGACACTAGGTGTGGAAGTGTCCTATACCAAATGTTGGAGAGAAACAACAAGCTGTTGTGGATTTGCGTGGTAGTCCCGAGGAAGGATACAAGAGATTGTCTTTTTACTATTGGATGAAAAAAAGTACAAATACCTACAGTGAAACCTCTATAAATTAATAATGTTGGGACTACACCAAAACTAAATTTTTTATTAATTTATAGAGATTATTAATTTATCGAGATATTAATTGAACCAAAAATTCAATTTGGGACTATGAAATTATATTAATTTATAGAGATATTAATTTATAGATTATTAATTTAAAGAGGTTATATTGTATTTGTTGCGTTGGGAGCATTATTGAAGGGTTTGAATACATGAGGAAAATCATCACAGTGGATGCAATTTTTCTGAAGACTGTTGAAGGTGGTGTTTAATTATTGCCACGGCTCAGGATCCAAACCGTCACCATTATCCTATAGCTTTTAATGTCGTTGATGGGGAGAAAAATGCAAGCTGAAAATGTTTTTTCACAACGCTGAAAACTGTTATACCAGATTCGCTGGAATTGGTGTTCGTTTCAAACAGAAGTCCAAGTCTCATTAAAGTCGTTGCTGAAGAGTATCCGATGTCTGAACATGGGTATTGTATCTGGCATCTATCGCACAATGTGAAAGGGCATGTCAAACATAGCAGGGACGAGGTTGCAGAACAATTCAGGAAAGTTGCACAAGTTATTCAAAGGCTGAGTTTGAACAGCAGTATCAAGAGTTTAGGGAGAGGTATCCACAGTGTGCTACGTATCTTGATAAAAGTGTCGAGGTCAAAAAATGGGTGAAGTGTCATTTCCCCGGTGCAAGGTACAACATAGACACTTCTAATTGTGAGGAGTCTTTGAATGCGCTATTTGAAAAAGCACGAAATATGTCTTTACAACCTATGCTCGATACAGTTATTGACCAAATGGCTGAGTGGTTCAACAAACATAGGAATGAAGCAGAAGCCGGACCGTCATCTCGAAAATTGGTTCCATATGTGGAGAAAAAATGCATAAAAGAGTACAGAAAGGTGAAAAACTACAAATGACTCCTTTGAACACTTTTGAGCTTGAATACAGTGTTGTTGGAAAAGACGGAAAAACTTATTTGGTGATTTTCGTCATAAGACGTTCAGTTGCAGGAAGTTTGATATAGATAAATACTCATGTGTCCATGCAATAGGGGCTGTGATTAAGTGTTTGAACCATGATAGACCAATAGAGTTGAGTGACATGTATGATCTAATCTCCCCTTATTACTTGATTAGAGTGTGGGCTTTGGCGTATCGAAGGACTATATTTCCAGTCCCTCAAATGTCTGACTCGATCATTCCAAAAGAAGTCGCGGAACAGTGTCCCTTACCTCCAGTGTATGAAAAAGGGAAGAACTCAGGTAAAAAGGTATCCTTTGGCAGGAGAAAGTCGTCTTCGTCCTAATAAGTATGTCCCGAATAGAAATTTGGGTCACTAGTTCAACTTCTCACAGGGAACTGAAGGATAGCAAGGAACACAAGAAAAAACTTTGTGAAACCTTCGTCAAATGATTGTAAAACTTTGTGAAACCTGCGTTATATGATTGTAAAACGTGGTGAAACCTGCGTTATATGATTCTAAAACTTTGTAGAAATTCTGTTATATTGTTGTAAAACGTGGTGAAACATGCGGTTATATGATTGTAAAACTTTGTGAAATCTGTGTTTTATGATTGTAAAACTTTGTGGACTTTAGATCACGTTACCTGCACTTTAGATCACTTTAACTGGAAATTTTTAATATCCGGATCACATTTTCTAATAATACGGAAGAAAATACATTGTTATGATATAGTTTTCCCTAGACGTCACATTGTTGGATTACAAAAGTTATATATGTCATGAAATCAAATAAATTTTCACATGAAGACATCAGAAATGCATATAGAAAATTGAATATAGCTGGTATAACCAAAACGTTAATCACCTAAGTACAATAAAACTAAGACAATCAGAAATAACAGAAAAGTAAAACTTTAAATGTTCTTGTATAACTACAAACTATGTGAAACTCGAAGCATGAAAATCCTTTAAAACTTTTTCCCGCCCACTTTTTAAATTTTCCCACCTACTTTTTTGAATTTTCACTCTCCCAAAAATCGATGCGGAATCGACGTAGACGTGTATTAAACCCTTTTCCCCCATATATGTCAACCGAGTCTCTCTCTCTCTCTTCCTTTACTATCCACTCTCTATATTTCTTTGTGGAGCAATTTCTCTTCGAACCCTCTCGCGATCTTTCTTCTTTCATCCTAACTTGAATACTCAGAATCATGACTCATCCATACGAGAAGTACATGCATATAAAGGATTTGAAGGAGTACAACGACATGCTTGGCTTTGTGGCGGATGCTCATTGTGGTATTCCGGCCAGATGCCCTTGTGGGGGGGGGGGGGGCGGAAGTATCATCAACAAGGTGTGTCGAGAGCCAAAGTAGTGAACCGATGTTGACACTTGACTTGAGAGAAAATACTTCACTTGCAAAAACTTCGAGGTAATTTATGGATACTTCCGGGTTTTATGTGCAGATTTAGATACTTTCTGGTTTTCTGTGTTGAACGATGGCCTCCAATTTTGTCAACTATGGGTCTTCGGTGTCCAGGAAGAGGTTGAAAGGTTAAGGGACCATGTGGAGGTCATGCCTGCAAAGATTTCTGAACTCAAGTATAAGTTATCCCATCAGAATCCTAACAGTAATTGAAATAACTCTGTTGTTTGCTTAAGTTATGTCATGGAATCTATTTGTTTGCTTAAGTTACTTGCAAGACTTTTGTTATGTTGTTGTTGTTGTTCTGGGATAACTCTGTGGATTCATAACTCTGTTGTTTTCATATAAAAGTTTCTCTTATTCGCACTTTCACAAACAAAGATGATAGTGAAATTTTGAAAATTTTCCCTTATTCGCACTTTAACGAACTTTAGTTCACAAAATTAGACTAAGATAATAGTGAAACTTTGAAAAGTTTTCCTTATTCGCTCTTTCACGAACTTTAGTTTCACAAAGTTAGACTAAGATGATAGTAAAAAAAGTTTCCCTTAATCGCTCTTTCACGAACTTTAGTTTCACAAAGTTAGACTAAGATGACTTATTCGCTCTTTCACAAACTTTAGTTTCACAAAGTTAGACTAAAATGATAGTGAAACTTTGAAAAGTTAGACTACGATGACAGCAAACAAGAAAGTCTCAAACAACATAAGTCTTCAACTTGAAACAAGAAAGTCATAAGGAAGTCATACAAACAAACCAAATAAAGTTCATACAAACCACATACAGATTTCACACCTTTTCCTTACCTCCCTTCTTTGTCTTCTTCTTCTTTCCACCTATCTTCTTCTCAACTGCATCCTTCTTATGCTTCTTTTTACCTGCCTCCTTCTGCTGGGCACCTCTGGTCCTCTTTTGAGCTGCCTCCCTCAATTGGCGTTATGTCGAAATGGGACGTCTCATGTTATCGCCACCCTTTGGCTTTTTCAGGAACTATTTCTTTTCCATCATCTATTCTCACCCTCTTCTTTTTCTTCTTCTTCTCAGTGTTTACCTTTTCAGATTTCTCACTCTCGACCAGCGCAGCCGCTGCAGACATCTCTGCAGTATCATCCATTTCATCATCACCATTTCCATGTTCACTTTGCACTTGTTTTGTAATGTCGAGAACAATATCATCATAAGAACCACCATCTTCAATTTTCTCCGACGGAATATCACCATCATCTTCATCTTTCTGCGATGGAATATCATCACCATCTTCTTCTGACGCATTATCATCTTTATCTTTCTCCAATGAATAATCACCACCATCTTCCTCCGATGGAGTATCACTTTCCTCTTCTGCTTGTAGTTCAACAACATCGGGTTCACTTGGTTTTCCAGACAAGTTACCCGGTTAGACAATGAATTGACTTTTTTTTTCACTTCCTTCATAATACCATCTCGGAGTACATTACTAATCCGAGCTTCCAACGCTTTTAAATCCTTAACTCCAGGAGCCTTCACCGAATTTTGCATGAGGAAGACCATATTCTGCATTATTGGATGGTCCCTCAATATCAGAAATGGTGGGACCTTCAACCTCAGCTGTACCAGCCCCAAAATCGATGGCGAACTGTTCTTCAAAGAAATTTTTTTCTTCCCTTTATGTATTATCTTGGTCCAACGATCAACTGCTGCATCATCCTCGTCATCAGCCCAACAACTTTCCTTGTTCATCCCTATGCTTTCCAGAAGTTCCTTCTCAGTCGCTGTTGCTATCAAGATACTCGCAATTTCCTGTGCCACCAAATACACATAAAACATTGATTACCTTGGTTTCACTAAGTTTTCATAAGTCTCTTTTCTTTAATTTGACTACACATAAGACATCAATTACCTTAGTATCACCAAGTTTCTTGTTCACTGCATTCAGACCGAATTCCTTGGTTCCACTTTTGCGTTTGTGCTGCATCTTGCACATCTGTGGGCAACCAGAACGTGCACCATTGACAGTTTCTCAGAAATGGTTCTTCAACCTTGGAATTACCTGACAGGCCAACAACTACGAACACCCAACAAAAAACCATTAACATCAACTTAACAATAAGACAACTAAGTACAACAGAGCTTAAGAATACCTCCAAAGGATATGAAAGCTTGTAAAAACCCAACTTGTCGGCACAACCCCGTCGCATTTCTCCAAGAAGCTAGAGACATCCTTCAAGTTATGTTCGAATGCATACCGCCTCCAAGGGAACTTTAAACACTCATCTAGGTCATCAACAACAGTCTGGAAGAAATTATACACATGTGATGCTCCCTCTACTGTTTTGGCCTCTGATGAGGATGTTGGCTAAGAAGTACAGAGCAGCCATCTTTAGACGATCCTAAGATAGCTTTGATTTTATTGCCAACATCTGCTTCTCCAGCTCAGCGTATGTAACCCTTTTCCCTTCAAAATATTTGTTCATGAATGTTGGACCACCCAACTTCTCATGGTTGGGGGGATACTCATGGCAGTATAGTCCATAAATGAGTCCAAATTCTCTGAGAGAGTATCGGATTGGAACGCCACTAACAATAAACCATAACTCATACTTCATCGCTACACAAGGTGAACACAAAAAGAGAAGCCACATTCCCATCCACTTCTCCTTTCGGTTTTTAATGGAAGAAATGTTGGAACTGTGGGTGCTCTAAGAACCATTCCACCTCCTTCTCTATCAGGATCATTTGTATATTTCTTATCGCCGTGTCAATGTAACATTTTCCTGAAATCTTTAAAGATTTTTGATACTGGCATGGAAGAAAGTGAAACTTCAGCGGTTGCATGCCTTCTTCTTCGTCATCTACAAACTGCATTCAAGTGACAACCGGATCATGTACGACATCTTATAACCATCAACATAAGATTTTACAAACTTGGACTTAGTTAAGCAATAGTTAAGTTTAACTTTGTCTAGGTTTCACAAAGTTGGTACATCTTTATTGTTGAAGCTCAACTTAGATTTACAAAGTTTCACATTACAAGTTTCTACTTTCTTTCTCAATATTTCACTAACTTGAAATTCCACATAGGTTTCCACACTTATCTAGTCTTTCAAATAATCTTTAGAAATTTTTTCAAAGTTCTACAAATGCCTTCAATATTTGAATAATTACCTCTGCATGCGACTCAGTTTCATGTTCTCGTACTGATAATTGGGTCGTTCTTCCTTCCGCTTCTTCGTCATTTTTTCGGGGCTCCATTTCATCTTCTTCTCTTCGTCTTTGGGTTCATTCACTTCTTCTCCAACTTCTTTCTCTTCGTCTCCGGAATCCTTCTCTTCTTCTCCTATATTTTCTTCTCCTACTTCACCTGATTCCTCCTCTTCCTCTTTCTCACTTGCATTTTTTTCGCTTTCATCTGTATCTCAGGGATTTTGCTCGGCCACCGGGGCGACAGATTTGTCGATGGTGCTTGGGTTTGCTTCATCCCTACTTTCTTCTTCGGATTCTGAAATCATAGCCGTTTCTTCTCCTCCTACACTACTGGAGCCGTATTCTTTTGCCTTCGGATCGTCTAGATTCAACATGATTTTGGTTTTGATTCTCGATTGACTAGGGTTTTCAGAATTTTAAGAGAAACGCAAACAATCGAGACATGGACAAACCGTTAAACCTTCCCCTTATTTTTTTTACGAGTTCATTTATTACTTTTCTTACTTTCAACCTCAATTTTCAACCAATACGGGGAAGAAGGAGAAGCGTATTCAGGATTTGAATTTCTGCAAGTGGGTATCCAATTTTGTTGGGTCGGTATTGGGTTCGGGTTTGGATAGTACTAGGTCGAATTGTAAATATCTAAGTTTCTCTTAGACTTCGTGATCTTTTACTCATTTTTCAGATTTAATTAAACAATTATCTATTTTTGATTTCAGACAGAAGTATCACATAATTCTTATTTTTGGACAGGAATATCTGAGCAATTGATTCTCTTAAAACCAAATCATAAAATCATGTTTAATGTCATGTTTAGAATGTTGAAAGCGGTCGGAAAAGTTTTGGTTTGTCAAAAAATTTATTAGAAAATGGTGTCGATTTGAAGTCTCTGGTGGTGAAGTTTTGATCTCTTATTTATCAACTTTTGCTTATCTCTTAGATCATATCGCTATTCTTCAATTTTAACTTTTTGTTTGTTTAAACATATATAGTCTGAAGATAGAATTTCTAAGTAGTCGAGCATGTACCACACCATCCACAGTTTAAATGGGAAAGATGGGAAACGAAAAGTTAAAAGGGTTAAAACATAATTTTAAAGTTTTTGCCTTTTAGGAGTCAAATTTGCAAACATAATTTTGAAAAAGAAACAATGTACGGTGGAGAATCCTCGGGCGTGATATTACACAGAAGCTATAGACCACAAGAAAAAAATGAAGAAGAAAACAAAAGGCAGCAAGCAAGCAGTAAATAGACCGTTCATTTTGAATCCGCTCACATCCACCAACCACCTTGATTTTATATCGCTAAGATATTTTCACCGCCAAAAACAAATATGAACACCCTAATTAGACGAATAAACCTCTCTCTCGCATAGAATATACGAGCATACCACGTGTAGCTATCTCGTAAATATGAGCGGAACATAGGGGTAAGAAAGTAAACAGCGAAAGATTTATGCCAAAATAAAAAAAGATACTCCTCCTCAATAATAGCGACGGAAAGAAGAAGAAAGAAGAGTGAAGAGTGAAGCTCGTCCTCTCGAACAACAATGGCATCAATCGGATCTTTAAAAGTTCATTCCTCTGCGTCTTCTATTTCCTCCTTCTCCTCTACCTGGAATCACACCCGCAGATCATCGTCTCTCAGGAAGACACTCTCCTTCTCATCGTCTTCTCTTACCGGGGAGAAACTCAATCCCACGCAGGAGATCATCTCCAATCTGCCGCGTTGTAATGAGAGAAGAACGCCAACGATCGTCTCTCCAAAAGCAGTCTCAGATTCACAAAACTCGCAGACTTGCCTTGATCCTGACGCTAGCAGAGTAAGTATATATATATGATTTCGATATTTTGCTTGGACGATTTAGGGCTTCACTTTATTATCAATGTGGCAGAGTGTGTTGGGGATAATCCTCGGAGGTGGTGCTGGAACGAGACTATACCCTCTCACGAAGAAGAGAGCGAAACCAGCTGTTCCTCTCGGCGCTAACTATCGTCTCATTGATATTCCAGTGAGCAACTGCCTGAACAGTAACATCTCCAAGATCTATGTCCTTACTCAGTTCAACTCCGCTTCTCTCAACCGTCATCTCTCGCGAGCTTACGCGAGTAACATGGGTGGTTACAAGAACGAAGGCTTCGTTGAGGTTCTTGCTGCTCAGCAGAGTCCAGAGAATCCTAATTGGTTTCAGGTAACCCAGAGAAATGTAGCTTTTTGATTTGAGAGATTTGATACTGATTTTTGGTTTTGGTTTTTGTGTCAGGGAACTGCTGATGCAGTGAGGCAGTACTTGTGGCTGTTCGAAGAGCACAATGTGTTGGAGTTTTTGGTTCTTGCAGGGGATCATTTGTACCGTATGGACTACGAGAAGTTCATACAAGCGCATCGTGAGACCGACGCTGATATCACTGTTGCTGCTCTTCCTATGGATGAGAAACGAGCTACTGCTTTTGGGTTGATGAAGATTGATGACGAAGGAAGGATCATTGAGTTTTCTGAGAAGCCTAAAGGAGAGCAGTTAAAGGCTATGAAGGTGAGAGAGTTCTTGGAGTTTTCTTATTATTATATTATGTTCATGACAGTCTACTATTTGGTGAGATTTAGGTTGATACAACAATCTTGGGACTTGATGATGAAAGAGCCAAAGAAATGCCTTTTATTGCTAGCATGGGGATTTACGTTGTTAGCAAGAATGTGATGTTGGACTTGCTCAGAGACCAGTTCCCTGGAGCTAATGACTTTGGGAGTGAAGTTATCCCTGGTGCTACTGATCTTGGACTGAGAGTAAGTTTTATGAAATGGTTCACTCTCTTTGTTAATTTGGTTTAGTGCTCATCTGATAAAAGTCTTTTCTTTTTTCTTTCTTAGGTGCAAGCTTATCTGTACGATGGTTATTGGGAAGATATTGGTACTATTGAGGCGTTTTACAACGCAAATCTTGGAATCACCAAGAAACCAGTACCAGATTTCAGCTTCTATGACCGTTCTGCACCAATCTACACACAGCCTCGGTACTTACCTCCATCTAAGATGCTGGATGCTGATGTTACCGACAGTGTGATCGGTGAAGGTTGTGTCATCAAGGTAGAAAGAAACACCCTTTCTCCTTCTACCGTTTCATATGTGGAGGTAGAGGCTTCAGACTAACTGCTTTTCCTTTTTTTTCTCATCGTTTTCATCTCCAGAACTGCAAAATTCACCATTCTGTGATTGGTCTTCGGTCTTGCATATCGGAGGGTGCAATCATAGAAGACACCTTGTTGATGGGTGCAGACTACTACGAGGTATGCTAACAGTCTCAGATCAGTTCACTTCATTTTATTGAATCAGGACCTTTTTTTCTGTATAATTTTCTTAAACATGTGTTTTATTTTTCGATCCGTGGGCTTCAGACTGATGCTGATAGGACGCTCCTGGCTGCAAAGGGCAGCATTCCAATTGGTATTGGCCGAGATTCCCACATCAAAAGAGCTATCATTGACAAGAATGCTCGTATTGGTGACAACGTCAAGGTCATTTCCATTTTATCAGTTGTTATTTCTTTTCATCAAGTGTATCATCAATGACTGACACTTTAAACCTCCCCTGCTCTTTGCGTTTACTCAGATCATCAACACGGACAACGTGCAAGAAGCTGCGAGAGAGACGGATGGATATTTCATCAAGAGTGGCATTGTTACAGTGATTAAGGACGCTCTGATTCCTAGTGGAACCGTTATCTAAGAGACCGCACCTCCCATTTAACAATCTTCTTGCATATCTTGGTTTTGGACCTCGTTTTAGCTTCCAGTGATACTATCTGTAATGTTATCCGAGGTCAGGGACTATGCATCTCTCTGCCTTATCCCTGAATAATAATCTGTACTTTCTACTATACAAGACCGGCTTATAAAAATATATAAAAAGCAGAACTTGCCCTCTATGTAACAAAACTATGAACCAGAAATTGTTAAAAGTTGAGGTAATACTTGGGGCACTTCAACCAAATTCTAAAATATTGCATGAAAACTAATCTGCAGACTGGTCTAATCTGTACATCAAACTTTGGGACAAATGGTCAAAGCAAACTCATGAGATTGTAGACCACCATCCACTCTGTATGTTCTGTACATTCTTCTGGGTCGTTTAGTGCTTCGTGTACCCATTCAGACCCATAGGGCAACAGTTCATACCCTAAGCAAGCCATGATATTACGGGAAGAGCCCTACCAAAGAAGTCTACAATCTTATTTTCAGTATAAAAAACTATACAAAACAGAAAACAATTTAAACATAACAAAATTGAAAATATAAATTTACCTTTTAAAAATTAAATCATACACACAAATATTACACTTATATCATTTTAGTCATTATATATATTTTTAGGAATGTTATGTTTTCTCAGATATCGTATCTAAGAACATGTATCTTTTTGTAAAATAATATACTAGATAAACGTTTTTTTCTAAATGTGATTCTTGTATAAAATTGAGTTTCATTAAAAAAGTTTACACCAGTGGACTTTTGGTAAGAGTGCTCTTTTGTCCGCCTTTGGGTCTATTCATTCCATGAAACAGAAGATGCATGGTTTTGATTTAAGTTGTTAGTCTGCACTTTAACCATCTATTATATTAAAATAGAAGTCACAACTTCTATTCATGTGTGACTTTAAAAATAGATCATTCATTAGAAAAATTGTTACCTTATCTTTTATATTTGTATAATAAAATCTTAACAACCATATTTAATTCTCATTTTCATTCTCTTAATAAATAAGAGCATCTTAAATTAAATTAGCAATACATTTATATAAACATTTAAATATATGTTCAACGTTAAAAAATATATATCACTAATGTCATAAAATAAATAACATATGTATATAAAAGTGAAAACAACATCCGCGCGGTTGCGCGGGTAAAGATCTAGTTACTTATTTAATATTGTAGATTGTATCATCATTGAGGTCTGGTTCTTACAAGAACTTTCGCGATCCGTTTTATGATCATGGAGCCATATTATCATGAGACAGTAATTTAGAAGCTTTATTTTTTTTTTAATGAGATAACTTTTTTTTTATATAACTTTAATATAATATTTTAGAAGCTTATAACGCCAGAAATAAAAGTTCGATCATTGAATATTTTTTATGTTCACAAAAATGTGTATTGGAAAGAAGCTTTGATTTTTTATCCGTTACACACGACTGTAGTGTGATTAATTGTCTTCTTTTTTGTTTGTTTTCTTTGTTTTGGATTTAAGCTATTCGTCTTTTTCATTTACTTCTGAACTTAACGACATGTTGTTTATTTCAAATGAACATTTGTCATTAACCTTTGTGTAACTGTTGTTTCTTTTTATTGAGTGATGATATATTTTCATTACATCTATATTATTAAAAGAGAAGTACTAAATAGAAATAACCCTTAATTTTATCAGTTATTTACAATAGAATGCCATTGAGATATTTATTGAACCATTAGTTAAGCATACTTGTCTTTTCCTAATTTAGATAATAGATTTAAGTATTTAATATCTTTTCATAATTTAAATAATAGATTTTCTTAGTCAAAAAATAACCAAAATAAATTTCCTAATATATTCGGTATTAAAATATTCAATATTTTAATATTTATTAGTAAGAAGTAATATGTTATTTTCTTTAAGAAATTATAGAAGTTATAGTTACACATATTTATATATATATATTAAGTATTTATAATTTTTTAAGGGATGATAAGATTTTGTAATTGGAAACAATTATTCCTACCTCTATATTATTTTAATTAAGAAATCTAAAATTTATATCAGAATATTTTTTTTTAATTTTTAAATTGAATTATTATAACTGTAAAGATTAATTTTCAATCAAAGTTTATGTTTAAATATTATAAATACATCATTTAATATAAATAAATACATAAATAAATATCCGCCCAATCGGGCGGGTCAAGGTCTAGTATTTATTAAAACTGGTAAATTTACCATTAATCCAAGGAAAAATTGTTAAATATGACTCACAGCTTGGTTTCAAATGCAAAGGTAAACCCAAACTTTAATCAAATATAAAATAGCCTAAAAAACTATTGAAATTACAATTAGTTCCTTGTAAACAAATAAAAAACCTAAAATATTTTTACGTTTCTAACCCCGCAACTATTCTTTCCAGACGACTTTCAAGTAAGGCATCTGGACGATTTTCTTGAAAGTCGTCTAGTATAGTTATTGTTAAAAATAATTTAATTGTTTTTTTTTAAATATATATTTTGATGAATAAAAATTGAAATCAGGCAATTAACATATATTTTAAGAGATATAAATTAAGATATAACAAAATTTAATTGTTTTCAACATAGAAGAGTGAAAGTAGTGAGTCATGATATTCTTTGGTTTAGGTTTTGCCAACATATGTTCTAGTATTGTATGTGTTTCTTAGGGTTAGATTTTCGAAAACATAATTTTTTTTTTGAAAAATCTAAAATTTATCTAAGTGTGTTTATTTTTATGTATAATAACCACTATTTAAGTATAATTTAATTTTATAACGTGGTTAGTTAGTTAATTTAGTCAATTTAGTTTAGGGTTTAGGGTCTAGACGACTTACTATTAAGTCGTCTAGTAAATATATTTAAGGCAGATGACTTACTAGTAAGTCGTCTGATGTATAGTATTCAACAGACGACATACTAATAAGTTAAATTCCAAAATGGACCGAACTTTTGATTTTACCAATTTACTTTTAAACCTAACCAGATTTTTTACCGAACATATATAAGATATTTTTTTACTCATTTTTTCGCGAAATTCAGAAAACCCTAACGCCGTTTCTCTCAACGGTGATTTCAAAGGTGATTTCCGTCGAATCTCTCTAATCCCCATCGTTCTCACCGCCAGTTATCTCTCCGCCGTTATCACCATCGTTATCACCATCGTTGTCACCACCGCTTCCTCTATTTCAGATCTGAGAGAAAGTCCTAGCACCGTTTCTCTGTAAACCCTAGTGCTGTTTCTCTTAGAGGCATTTTGTTAAACTTTGCCGCCGGTAAGTTATATCTCTTACTGTCGAGTTATTAATTGAGGAAAAGATGAACATAAAACGTCGTTCCCATCGCGCTTCTTTTTCACGTCTATTTTTGCAGATCTATAACCGCTGTGTCGAAGGCGACTATATCTTCTCTGAATTTTCAGGTCGTCGGTACAATGTTCAACTGGAAGTCTTGGAAGACTTGCCAGGCGACTTAATTATAAGTCGTCTGGAAAATCTTCCAGACTTATATTAAAATGTTATACTGGATGGTTGTGTGTTTGAGATGGTTGTCTTTGAATTTATTGCAGAAAAAAAAGAGTATTCCAAAACTCCCCCGTAGTATACATACAATAGGGCAAGAGTCCCCCGTATTGAATAGCAAGTGTACAAAGTTGTATACTGCTTTAAGGAATGCTCTTCATGATGACGAATATGAAGAGCTATATGAGTCTAAGTTAGGAATTTTCATCAAGTTCCAAGAGCTGGGATTTGATTGGGCTTCAAGGCTGGTTCACTGCATGCTCGATTTCCAGCTCGACATAAAGAAGAAGTATGAGCTGTGGAGTCTCGTTGGTCCACAACCTTTGAGGTTTTCACGGTTGGAGTTTGAATACCTCACTAGTCTAACTGCGAGTACATCGAGGACCTTGAGAGACCAAACTGTGTTGTTACAAAAGAGTTGGCTTCTTTCTGGGAGTTGTTGGGAGTTCATGTCGAAGCTGGGACAACTACTAACAAACAATAGCAGCATTTGAGAGATGCGAAGGGTGGTCTCGGGATGATCGCAAGCGGCTCAGGTACCTTGCCATCTTCACTGGATACATTGAAGGGAGAAAGTATTTAACCCCTACATGGGTTAGTCTGGCAAGGCTAGTGATGGAGTTAGAACGGTTTGAGAATTATCCATGGGGGAGAGTATCGTTTAAGGTGCTGATGGACTCTGTGAAGGGCAAAGATATTTTGGGTTCTTACACTGTTGATGGGTTTATACAATCTCTCCAGGTCTAGCTGTACACAGCTTTGTTAGAATTGGGTGCTAATTATGGTAATCTCATACCAAACAGACCGTCTCCACCGATACTAGCTTACAAGGGTGGTAAAGGACTTATATGCTTTAAAGAAGCTATTGGCAGATAGGTATTTACTTAAATCAAAAAGAATTTTTGAAAACTTATGATTAAGTCGTCTGGAAAGTCTTCCAACTGGACGACTTAGTAGAGGACTTATAATTAAATCATCTGTAAAGTTTTCCAGCTGGATGACTTAGTAGAAGACTTATAACTAAGTCGTCTGGGAATACTATCCAGACGACTTAATAATAAGTCGTCCAGCTAGAAGATTTCCTAGACGACTTATTATTAAGTCGTCTGCTAAGTCGTCCAGCTGAAAAAAATTTCAGACGACTTAATCATAAACTTTTTGTGAAGTTTTTTCTTTCCATCTTTCTTAATCCTTCAAATACCTAAGTTTATATCTTCTATTTACTGTAGACTAGGGTGATCAACTTTGTTGAGAAGGATATTGGTGAAATGTTTCCACAATGAGACTCTGATGTTGAGGACCCAGCCGCAGAGAACATAATTAAACTCATGTATAATCAGAGACCGTGGAAGTGGACCATGGATTGCTAGGAAGTCACAGGTACTTGGGTCAATACAAAGCCGACAGTTTTTTAGTTCAGCGAAGAAAGCAATAATTTTGGTGAAGGAAGACAAAGACAGTCCCAAAACCTCTTAAGAAATCTCGTAAAGAGCCTAGTGAAGAGGCACCTGCAAAGGCCCATGAAGAGGTTCGTACAGAGGCTCGTCCAGAGATGACTACCACTGTTGGTGGGCTGACCAAAGAGGATATTGAAAAATGTTGAAGGATTCTTTGACGGACATACTCGATGCCATGAGTGAAGGGTTTGGGACGTGCGTTAAGGAGATCAAGTATATGTCTGAAAGGATGGAAGCTGTGGAGAAG